TGGATATTCTATTTCTGCCATTTGATACGTTTGGGTAAGGGTTTATTTATCTTGTGGATATTCTCAAAGAACCAGGTCTTTGTTTAATTGATTCTTTTTATTGTTTTATTTGTTTCTATTTTATTAATTTCAGTTCTCAATTTGAATATTCTCTGTCATCTACTTATGGGTAAGTCTGCTTCTTTGTCTTTTTATTCTAGAGCTTTCAGATGTGCTGTTAAGTCTCTAGTATGAGATTTCTCCACTTTCTCTATGTAGGCACTTAGTGCTATGCACTTTCCTCTTAGCACTACTTTTGAAGAGTCATGTAGTTATGGGTATGTTGTGCATTCATTTTAGTTGAATTCTAGAAAGTCTTTAATTTCTTTCTTTACTTCCTCCTTGACCCAGGGGTGAATCAGTGGAGCATTGTTCGGTTTCCATGAGTGTGTAGGTTTTCTGCGATTAGTGTTGTCATTGAATTTTAACTTAAGTCTAGTGATCTGATAAAATAAAGGGTGTTATTTTAATTTTTTAGTATCTGTTTCTGTTTGCTTTGTTACCAAGTATGTGGTCAATTTTTGAGATGGTTCCATGAGATTCTGAGAAGAACGTATATTCTTTTGTGTTTGGGTGGCATGTTCTATAGATGTCTGTTAAGTCCATTTGAGTCATGACATCTGTTAGTTCTCTTTCTTATCTGTTAAATTTCTGTCTGGTTGAGCTGTCCATTGTGGAGAATGGGGTGTTGAAGTCTCCTTTTATTAGTGTGTAGAGTTTGATGTGTGAGTTAAGCTTTTGGGGCATAGATTTTTAGGATTGTGACCTCATTTTGATATATTTTTCCATGATGAGTTTGAAGTGTCATTCTCCATCTCTTCTGATTGAATTTAGTTTGAACTCTCTTTAGTTAGATATTAGGATAGCTACATCCGCTTGTTCCTTGGGTCCATTTTATTGGAAAATCTTTTCCCAACTCCTAACACTGAGGTAATGTCTGTCTTTGAGGTGTGTTTCTCATCTGCAGAAGAAGGATGTATCTTGTTTTCTTATTCATCCTGTCAGTCTGTGTCTTTGGGTGAATGGAGTCCATTGATATTAAGAGATATTAATGGCCAGTAATAGTTAATTCTTGTTATTTTTCAGAGATATTGTTTGAGTATTTCTCTTCTTTTTTTTTTTGGTGTGAGGCTGTCTGTTGTCTATGTTTTTGTGGATTCAACTAGCTTCTATGAATTGGAGTTTTCCCTGTAATACTTTCTATATGATTGGGCTTGTGGATAGGTATTTTTTAAATTCAGTTTTGTCATGAACTACCTTGTTGTCTCCATCAATGGTGATTGAAAGTTTTTCTGGGCATAATAGTCTGGGTTTTCATCCATGGCCTTTTAGTGTCTACAAGACACCTGTCCAGGACCTTCGGGTTTTCATGATTTACACTGATAATTAAGGTATGATTCTGACAGGTCTGCCTGTATATTTTACTTGGCCTTTTTCCTTTGTGGCTCTTAGTATTTTTCTTTGTCCTGTATGTTTAGTATTTTGATTATTACATGGACAGGGAACGTTTTTTTGTTCAATCTATTTGGTGTTCATCAGCTTTTTGTACCTTCATAGGCATCTTTAGGTTGGGAAAGTTTCCTTCTATGATTTTGTTGAATATGTTTTCTGTGCCTTTGAGCTGGAGTTCCTCTCCTTCTTCTATCCCTACTATTTTTAGGTCTTTTTGCCCTTCATTTCTTCATATTTCTTGTAGTTTTTTTGACACATCTTTCTGAACATATTTTCATGCACTACATCAATGGACACTTTTCTACTGGAGATGTATCTTGTGCTGCAGTGTAGGAGTTAATTTATTGAAGTACCTATGGATTATTTGTAATTAATACCTTTGGGCACAACATGAACCACCATTTCATTATAATTTCTGTGAATTATAATGAAACTGGGACACTCATTAGCTCAGATGAGGTGGTAGAGATAGCACAGGGTGCAGGGTGATTGTTGTCAAATTCCTACATTGTGTATGGTGGCTCACAAAAGATAGGTTTTCTCAGAAACTTTTATGGGCAAATTTGCTACTCTCAAGGGTTATTTTTCCTGGAAACCTCAGAAGAGAGTGATCAGTATGGTTTTCTTCTGACTAGACAGTGGCATGGGATCAGATGCTGCACTGGAGGGTGGTTCAGAGAATTTGGTAACCACTTTGTAGCACTTAGTCCAAGCCTTTTATTTTATTAATTTTTTTTTAATTAAAAATTTCCGCCTCCTCACTGCGTCCCTTTTCCCCCTTCCAACTCCCCATACCCCCACTCCCCCTCCCTTTCCAGTCCAAAGAGCAGTCAGGGTTCCCTGCCCTGTGGGAAGTCCAAGGTACCCCCCTCCATCCAGGTCTAGGAAGGTGAGCATCCAAACAGGCTAGGCTCCCACAAAGTCAGTACGTGCATTAGGATCAAAACCCAGTGCCATTGTCCTTGGCTTCTCAGCAGCCCTCATTGTCCACCATATTCAGAGAGTCTGGTTTTATCCCATGCTTTTTCAGTCCCAGTCCAGCTGGCCTTGGTGAACTCCCAATAGATCAGCCCCACCATCTCAGTGGGTGGGTGCCCCTCGCGATCTTGACTTCCTTGCTCATGTTCTCACTCCTTCTGTTCCTCATTTGGACCTTGGGAGCTCAGTCCATTGCTCCAATCTGGGTCTCTGTCTCTATCTCCATCCATCGCTAGATGAAGGTTCTATGGTGATATGCAAGATATTCATTAGTATGGCTATAGGATCGGGCCATTTCAAGCTCTCTCTCCTCAGCTGCCCGAGGACCTAGTTGGGGACATCTCTCTGGACCCCTGGGAACTCCTCTATAGTCAAGGCTCTTGCCAACCCTAAAATGGCTCCCTTAATTAAGATATATAAGTCCAAGCCTTTATAGTAGCGTGTGATTAGAGGCACTATAGGGCTGGATAGTAGCACTAAACAATTGGTTGGAGACAGCATAAACTTGAATATTAACTCCTTTTGCTTTCTAGAAATGTAAGGAAGGCCAGGGTCCCAGGTGTTGGTTGTAGGACCTGCTTTACAAGCAGGTTAGTCACTTATCCAGTGTGGTAATTTGGTAGGTATAATTTTAAAACTATGAAAATCAAATTTATAATACAATAGTAACTACTCATACTTATAGCTTTGTGATTGAATGATGAATATTATGATAGTAATTATGATTTGGTTTAGTAGGAGCAGTATTTTTCAGTATATTCATCTCACTGAATGTTAGGTCTGAATATCATTTACAGGTCAAAGTTCAAATTTTTTATTTGCCCAATACCTAAAGAAATACAAAAACATTGAATGTCCTGAATTCTTTCATTGACATTAGGAATCCTTTTTGTTGAAATCTAATTATCTCATTAAAAACATTGTTTTGACACCATTTTCTATCCAATATGAACTAAATTTATATGATAGTTTAATACAGGTTTTTAAAAACTTTGAGGAATTGGACTCGAAAACTAAGTATATATAAGTGTATGTATTAATAAACTTTTGGTAATTTTTCTTTCAGACCCATGTGTAATTTCAGAAGAGATCATGAAAAGACATAACATAACTTACAGATGGATAAGAGGCCAGAAGCTCTATTCCAAATCAGGAGACTATGTCAAATTTTCATGTATAAGTGGATATAAAGAGGCAAATGAATCACCTCCATTTCATACAATGTGCATTGATGGTCACATCAATTATCCAAGTTGCACAAAAAAAAGTTCTTGATTTAGTGGCTGAATGGATCTCTGTTTAGAAATAATCATGCATATTACTAATAGAGTTTCAATTTATGTTTGAAGTATTGTTTAACTCATTTCTTCTTATAAGTGTAAATTTGTATTGATATATAGTGATTAATTTGGAGCCTGAGAAATAACTGCCACAAATGCAAAACAGCTCATTAAAAGCTCCTATGTGCCTTAAAATTCAGAATGTGGTGTATTCTAGCAAAATAATCAATAGAAAAAATAGATGCAAGGACTTCAGTGTCTATTTCTACCCATAACTTTTCATAATCTCTCCAATCTTCTCAACACATTCTGATCAAATCTTCTGATTGATGGTGAAAAGAAAGCATATTATTTCATCTTTAAATTAGTATATATGTAATAATCAAACTGTCACATTTAACATTACTTATGAATATAAGTAATTGCTACATACTACTTTTGTATTAATAAACAAATCAAAGAAACATCTTGTGTATGAATTTTTGAACATGTTAATTTGACACATTGATATATTTAAGCAATTATACCTAGGAATTAAATTTTAACTGGGTATAGCATTCTGTCAGTGATATAAACCTATAAAAATTCTGTATAACTATTAAAAGGGCAATAAGCACATACATGCTTTATGCCCAAATTAATGAAGGGAAATAACAATAAATATGGTTAAATTTATCAAAATATCCCCTATATTTATCTTTAGAGGCTATAATGTTAAGAATTTCTATTTAATATAGTAAAGACAGTTTCTAGCCAGGTAGTGGTGGTGCATTCCTTTAATCCCAGCTTTGGGAGGCAGAGGCAGGTGGATCTCTGAATTTGAGGCCAGCCTGGTCTACAAGAGCTAGTTCCAGGACATCTAGGGCTGTTACAGAAAGTAACCCTGTCTCAAAAAACCAAAAGAAAAAAAAGACAGTTTCTATTTTATGATGGATGTACATATTAAGTTTATGATAGTGAAAAGGTAATAATTATTCAGCAAATACTGGTTCAATATATGAAAATCAATTAATGTAACCCACCATATATATAAACTGAAAGAAAAGACCTCATAATCATCTCATTATGCTGAAAAAAGTATTTGAGTAAATGCAACACTCCTTCATGATAAAGGTCTTGGAGAGATCATGGATAGAAAAAACATAAACAGAAGAAAAGCAATATACAACAAATTGACAGCAAACATCCAATTAAATGGAGACACCCAAAATGATTCTACTAAAATTGGCAACAAGATAAGGTTGACCACTCATTCCATATCTATTCATCATAGTTCTTGAAGATCTGGATAGAACATTAAGACAACAAAAAGAGATCAAGGATGTTATTCTTTCTGTCCCTGCCCTAGCCACGCCCACTCCCATAACCTCTGACCTGCCCGTTGCCATCTTGGGACCCTTCCTCTTTCTGCTTTCTTGGCGTGTGCATGCGTTTTCTCTGTCTCTTCTTTTATCTTTTTTTCTCTCCTTTTATTTCTTCTTTCTTCCTTTCTTTCTTTCTTTCTTTCTTTCTTTCTTTCTTTCTTTCTTCCTTTCTTCCTCTTCCTTAATAAATACTTATGGCTATTTCCTGTGTTTATGTGCCTGTTCCCTGCCGCCACCGTGGGCGCAGCGCGTGCCCTCCTGTAGCTACTTTCTCATGGCGGGCTCCGCCAACCCACCCGGGGAAAGAATAACAAATGGTGCCGTGACATGGTTTTTAGGGATGGGGGGACCTCCAACCACGGGCCTTCAGGGCCTCAGTTGTTCCCTTCGCTGGCATTCAATTAGGCTTGTCTTCTGTGTTAAGCCTGTGCCTGGGATGGTGTTGCCTTAGCCAGCCCCTCAGCTCACCTGCGCCTGGAGGCCCAGGGTCTCCAGTTCTTCCTCTCTTTCTTTTTTCCTTCCTTTTCTTTCTCTTTTTTGTCATAACTGCTGCTATGGTGCAGCAGTCTGCTAAGCTGCTTGGTGCAGCACTAAGCCACTTGGTGCAGCCTGACAATGGTAGAGAACAGCTTGTAAGACTTAAAGGTACATACCAGTTTAAAATACAAGACTCATGTTTTGTAGTCTGAAATAAGATGTAATAAACAATTATTATACATGGAGAGAGTGAACAAGAATTGGGCAACGTGGATGCCTCTGACGGGCCCTATCAAAGGCATTTGACCATTGCTCAAAACACATTTAACAGAGTTAGCATGAGGAGTTTAGTGAAAACTGAGTGAAGAAGCAGGTTAAAACCAGGAGAGTGAGGTCACATGATCTGGCCCTCAGCCTACAACGAGAACACCCACAGGCCCTATGAAAAGGTGTCTGATTCCAAAAGGGGAGGTGTTATAATCTAGCTGAATCCACCTTTTCATAGGGCCTGTGGGTATTCGTGCCATCTGCATCTTGCCTTAACGGGGGACCCTTCTCGTTGTAGGCTTGAGGTGCCACAGTTTTTGTGGGTGTTTGCACGGCCTTGACCACGGGAGCCAAGCCACCCAGACCTATCACTCCGGCCTCATGCTTTAATGCCTTACACTTACCCGTCTCTGTCCAAATAAATGGCCCCATTAAACTATACACGGCCGTTTTTCAGTTCCAGCCTTTTGCCCCTGCCCTCTGCGGCTTTTGCTGTGGCATGGCGGGCTTTCCAACAGAGCAGACTACACGTGGCGGTCACCATCTTGGCTGGAGGCCAGATGGGTCAGGTGACCTTTTCGCCATCTTGGCTGAGATACCAGTCCATTGGAGCGTGGTCTCTCTCCCTTTAAAAAAGGCAGCCACTTCCCTCTCCTCTCTCTCCTCACTTCCTGCTCCGCAGGCAACTAGACTCTTTTCCTGGTTGCGCAGAGGGCTGTTGTCTGGACAGTGATCTGTAAGTTTTTTTCCCCTTTAAATAAATACCACCCTATTAATCATAATTCCAAACTGGTGTGGCATTGTTTGTGACTTAAGCCTTCACCTGGCGCCCAACATGGTGTTTATCAGCTGCTGGATTTTGGTACATATACACAGATCAAATTGCCCAAATAACATCCCTCTTCTCCCATGGTTCAGATGGTAACCAGCAGTGTATATGTGGAGAGATCCAAGGAATCTGCTCCTTTCCCTGACTTTGAACAAATCCTAAGTACAGCCTCCTTTAAAGCACCAAATGAGCCCTTATTTCTTAGGGCTTTAGAGGTCTCTTTGTCAAGAGCAGTCACTTGTGATAGCACTTCTTCTCTAAATCTAAATTTTAATTTTCTATGGACAAGCCAGTTGCCACTCACCTACTTTTTTTTTATTACTTCCAGAACTACTGTTGCTTCATCTACTTTACTTTTAGGTCTTATGGGTATTTTTATTAACTTCTTGCCAATTTACTACAAACAGGAAGAAATTGATTACATTTAATTCAATGACAGCTTTCCAAATTCATTTTTTATATTTAAATGTAGA